GTGTACTTTGTGGACAAATTGGAGGTCACATTTGAATGTAAAATTTGTGAGACCTTGCAAAAGTAAGATTGAAGCTTTAAAAAGTGTTCCACCTGGAGTAAATATTGAAGATTGGAAGTGGCTTATCACTAACAAATTTATGACAGAAAAGTTTAAGGTATGTTGATATGGTAATGATGGTTTTACATATTATAAATAATATTTCTATTTAAATAATCACTTACATTTGAAAGTCATGCAGAAAATCAGTCAGCAGAATACTAAGAATAGGTCTGTATCAGATATGGGAATGCCTCATCGCACAGGGAGTAAGCCACATAGAGAAATCATATATGAAAATGTACTAAAAAAACACTTCTCTGCTAGTTATCTATGAAGTTTTTTACTTAGAATGACATTTTTTTCCTCAACTTATAGGGAGGTAAAGATTCACAACCACCTGCTTTGGGAGTAATTTTCTTAAAGACTAGAAGCAAAAATGAAAAATTAAATGGGACAAAAGAAGAAGAAAAATATGTAAGTGTCATTATTTATCCCTTTTACATTGATCTTGTTCATTTTTATCTTGATATACTTTTAACTTTTGTAAACTTTTTATAGAATGAAATTGTGAAGACTATTAAGTCCAATCCATCACTTTCAAACCTTGAAGTTGTTGAAAAACATTTTGGACAACAACGCCATGGTCATGTATATGGCTATGGGGGTGGAGTGAAGCGGAAAAACTTTAATGACAGTAAATCTACTTATATCAAAGAGCTAGAGGCTAAACTCTATGAAAAGGGTGAAGAAAATCGTGACCTTAAGAGGCGCATGGATATATTTGAAAGTAGGTTGATCCGAATAGAGAATGGAGATTCACCATCAGTTATAATTACAACCGGTGATGATATTCAACAGGTACATAAAGTTAATGGAGAGAAACCTTTAATTTTGCTTACTATATAGGAAATAACGTAACTAACTTATATTATTTTTTTTGAGTTTCTTATACAAAATGACTACAATTTTATCATTGCAGGGTGCTTAGAACTCAAGATATGAACATTGTTTCTTTTGACTTTAGTATTAAGGTAAAATAAACATTTCTATCACTTTTACCAGTATATCAATTTAATTAAGTTGTGGCTCTTGGAAAAATTATTGTTAGATGACTTCATGGATCTAGATGTGTATTATTATTATTATTTATTATTATTATTATTATTATTATTATTATTATTATTATTATTATTATGGTTTGTGTGCTCTTTGTGGGTGGCTTGAGGGTGACCATTGCTCTAGTTGTAAGCTCTGGGAATCCCTCTTGTAAAAATGTAGAGGTCTGCATGAGAGGGGTTGGTCTGGATCCTGAGGGTGGAAGGTGGAGGGTACATATTGTATTGATTTCTATTCATGACTCTTAAGCATCGGTCCCACACCTTGTGTAGGGTAAGGATTGTAGTATGATTGAGTTGCATGTTGTGTAAGTTGTGTATGCTTGATTAAACAGCTTGGCAGCCGGCTCTTGGTAAAGTAACTTGAGGTGCGAGTGCTTGCTGTTTGGTTTAGAGGGTGGCACTTTTGTTGATTTAACTAAGGAATTTTGTAGCCTAAAGGGGCAATTCTGGGGCACTATGTACAGACAACTTTTAAGAACTAATATTCTTATATTTTGCATTACAATGCAGGTTACTTCTAACACTGGTTATTATGTATAGCAACCGTGTGCTTTTGGATGATGTAAGTTCACTTCATTTGTTTAAATGAAATATGTATGTATATACATTAACTCTATATTGATATGAAATATATGTTTCCTTTACTATGAGGATTGTAGTTAAAGTTTTATGAATGTCATTTAGCTGGAGTTGTGAGTTTTATATGAGAATATATAACTTGAATTGCACACTACATTTTTCTTGGCCCTTCATCTATGTGGTTGGGTTGATTGAATTGTGGGTTAAATATATGCTTCATTATACACATTTGATTGTGAAAGTGCATGCATGATATTTATTAACTGCAATTATACAGAGTATATCCTCACAGGCTATTTTTATCTATTAGGTGGCAAAGCTATTGATGAAAAAGAGCATACCTAACACCACATTGAAAGTAAACTCTTTTTGTATGAAGTACAGCAGATTGGACATTTTTTTTGGGGGTTGCTTTTGTATAAACTAATCATGTCAATTTATACAGCCTCTCCTTTCAAAATAGCCAACAGATACATTACTATGGCTATTCATTATAATTAGTTTCTTTGTTTATAGTCTTTACAAAGTTGTGCGAAATATTTCATTTTAGTGGTGATGATGAAATCTTTTAACATATTAATCGAGTTTAATTTGATTCCATTATGTTAAAAATTATATATGTTACCGATACAATATCTATAATTAGAACATAATGTAGATTAGCAATAAAAAAATGTATTACAAAAGTTAATATTTAATGAGAAGCAACAATATATATACCAAATTAGAAAGAAAAAAAAAAAAAAAAAACCTAGTTTTAGTGACGATAAAATTTAATATAATGAGGAAAATTTTGGTTAGTAAATAGTAATATTAATGACGGGATTCACCATCATTAAAAGAATATAATGAGAGGAAATAATGTTAGTGAGTAGTTATATTAGTGACGGGATTTTCTATCACAAAAAGAACATTTTAGTGACGGTAAATACACTATCACTATATGCTTATTAATGATGGTATCATATCCCGTCATTATTTGGTTTTATCCTCGGAAGAAATAACGACGGGTCGTGACGGTAAATTTCCCGTCACTAAAAGTCTTTTATGATGATTATTTAATTTTTAGTGACGGTTTCACCTCTCACTAATCAACAATTTTCTTGTAGTGGTATTTTAGTCATTTTACTCATGTTTTTTCTTCTCCGATGAACTTCCCTCCATTTCCGGCGAGATTCCTTCTCCGATAAGCTTGTCTTTGATTGCTTCGTATCAACCTTCCCTGTCGAGAATCATTGTGCTGCTCTTTCTCTTCATCCTAACCTGGTCAACATCATCAGAATCATTGTGCTGTTCTTTCTTGGTGACAAAATTGAATCATTGTGCTGCTCTTCATCCTCATCACCTGGTCAAATAAAATCAAATGGTGACAAAATTCAAAATGGCTAAACATTTGAATCAATGTTAGCCGACATTCTCTCTCGCTTTCACCCTTTTTCCATGTCTGCGAAGAGAGACAGAGGGGTAAGGTCAGAGAGAGAAGACAAGGTTGAAAATTTGGGAGTGTGAGACTTTAGAGGTTGGCTTTACTTTTGCTTTAATTATTATATCAACGAACTCCCATTACCCAAATCTCATCACATACATTTTTCTTCTTCCTCAAAATTTAGGAGAATAAAGGTTGTTGGTCGCCGGAAATGGAGAAGAAGCTCACCGGAAATGGGGAAGCTCAGGGGAGAAGAATGAAAAAATAAGTAAAATGACTAAAATACCCTCATTATTTGCCCTATTAAATTTTTCCGGTGAGATTTGGCCGGCAATTTGGCCGGCGTGACCAAAATTGATAGAAATTGCATAGTCAAGGTACTCAATTAACATTTTTGAAAGTCAAGTGTTGCAATTAACACACCTCCAATAGTCAGTGGACCAAAATTGAAATTTTCTATATTTTAAAATTAGGTGTATGACTATGTAAATTGTAACACATTTGTTCCTGTCGTCCGATTTTTTGGCCAAGTTTCCTGCCAACTATTGTTAAAATTTCAACAAAAAAAAAAAAAAACATGTTCTAATTAAAAGAGTATTTTCAACCAACTTTTTCTGGAAAAATTATTTTTCTCGTTGAAATTCCAGCAATGTTTGGCTGAAAAATTTGACGGTAGGTCCAAATGTGATACAAATTACAAAGTCATGTATCCCATTTAAAAATATTAAGGGAAAAGGGTCAAATAGACCCTTAAACTATAGGCAAAAGAGCAATTAGGCCCTTCAACTTTGACAAGGTGCAATTAGGCCCTTCAACTTGTTATTTTGAGTCAAATAAACCCAATAGCAGGTTTTTCACCTGGAATAACCGGTCAAAACTTCCGGCGAAATTTCCGACCTTGTTTCCGGCAAAAAAAAAAAAAAAAAAAAAAACACAACTTGCCGGAGAAGACAACCGTTCGGTTGTCTTCTCCGGTGGAGAAGGCGACCAGATCAGGTCGCCTTCTCCACTGGAGAGGGCGGCCAGATCTGGTCGTCCTCTCCACAGTCCTCTCCGGTGGAAAGGAGTGGAGAGGACGACCAGATCTGGCCGCCCTCTCCAGTGGAGAGGACGACCGGACTGGTCGTCCTCTCCACTGGAGAGGGCGGCCAGATCTGGTCGCCCTCTCCACTGGAGAGGACGACCGGACTGGTCGTCCTCTCCAATGGAGAAGGCGACCTGATCTGGTCGCCTTCTCCACCAGAGAAGACAACCGACGGTTGTCTTCTCCGGCAAGTTCTTTTTTTTTTTTTTTTTTTTTTGTCGCCGAAAATATGGTCGGAAATATCGCCAGAATTTTTTGACCGGTTATTCCTGGTGAAAAACCTGCTATTGGATTTATTTGACTCAAAATAACAAGTTGAAGGGCCTAATTGCACATTTTCAAAGTTGAAGGGCCTAATTGCTCTTTTGCCTATAGTTTAAGGGTCTATTTGACCCTTTTCCCAAATATTAATAATCAAAGACCAAATGTAATATAAATTACATAGTCATACACCTAATTTGTAAAATATTAATAGTTAAGGATCAAATTTGATATGTACAAAAGTCAAGGGACCAAAAGTGAAATTTATTCTGACTAATAACATATAAATATAAGTTGTCTTCAGCTCTATAACTTGTATAATCATGTTGAATCACATTCTTATTCATTCGAACTTTCGAAGACAATAATATACTATTATCACATCCACCGATGCTTTATTATATTGTTTCTTAAACATTTCTTTATTTGAAAAAACAATAGAAAGTCTTGGTCATACCAGGCCAATTAATAGCAAAATATAAAATATAAATATTACAAATTTTAAAACAAATCACTGTTCAAGTAAAGCTGAAAACATTCAACAACACAGTGTGACTAATCATAATATGATTACACCCTAATTTTCGTGTCCGAACTCGGATAAAATGTCACTAATCATACATACACCTCCGATCCTCCAATTTCATATATACATTCACACCACTTTATTACACACCAACAACACCAACACCAACACCAACCCCAACATAAAAATTGTATTGTTCTTGGGTGCTTTGAAATCAAAATGCAATTGATCCACATGCATTTCCTAGCTAGAATCGAATCAAATCGAATCATGCTAGAACTGAAGGCTTGCGAGGATTGATGATCTCTCCGTTGGGTTTAACGCATTCCCCTTTGACCTGTCCGCCGCCATGTTTGGAGATCTGCATTTCGAAGCACTCGAACATGTGCTCCAACTCCGCTATTTCCCCCCGGATGTAGACGGACGATGAGTCTTTTTCTTCTTCCACGGAGAATTTTTCCTTGAAGCCACGGATTCGCTCTAGGCCGGCCGACGCTTTTGCCCCCATCTCCTCCATCGTTGCCCGCATCGCTGCATTCTCCTCTTGCACTTCCTTTAGTCTCCTCTTCATGGATCTGTACCCATCCAGGGCTATCTGCACTCGCTCCGAAAGCGTCTTGTTTCGCTCCTGTAATGCCGTTTGTCTATGCACATTCTCTTCTGATGGTGATCCTTTGTTGCTGCTGCTGCTCGATTTATCCTGATCTTTGTGCTCTGACGCACATTCTTGTGCCTGTAATTGCTCGGGGGAGACGACATTGTTGACCTCCAAAATACAATTAAGCAACCTAAAAAGCTAAGATGCTAAAAGCAGCAACCAAGTTTGAAGTTCGACTCCTAGTGAAAAATGGCTTATTAGTCTTCTTGAAACTATGACAACTTATGTTGGTTTACCTCCATGTCGTCCTTTGTCGGTAGGGGTAACAAGGTGGAATTTACCCGGTGCACACTTTCGAGTAGTATTTGTAGGTTTTATTGGTCACAAGAAAAAATAGTCAATACCCAATTTAGTTCTTGAGTATAGTGATTTTTCACGATTTAATTAGTCCTAAATGACTTTTTTTATACTTAATTAGATCATTGACTTCGATGGTTTTATCCAATTGAATCCTCGACGGTTAGAATCAATAACTAAATCGAGAAAAATTACTATAGTTGATGATTAAATTGAGTAAAACAATTATAATTGAAGATTAACTAAGGTAAAACTACTATAGTCAATGATTAAATTAGATCTTAATATAGATGAAATTACCAAGCTATCTTAATAGATTACCAATTGAGTAAAACTATCAAAATCAATGATCTAATTAAGTAAAAAATTGTTAAATCCAAAAAAATCACTACAATCCCAAACTAAATTGGATATTAACTCCCTTTAAAAAAAAAAGGTTGTGTCTTGTTACTAATGGAGGACAGAATGTAGAATGTACCTTCTCCATCAATGTCCTGTTTTGGGCTTTTAGATCATTGATGAGCTCCTCCATTCCATTCAATTCGTGGGCTTTTCGCGACAGCTCCGCCGCCATGATCTCCTTCTCTTTCCCCAGGCTAGAGCACATGACCTCCATGCTCTTCCGCGCCGCCAGGCTAGCGCTCAGCTCCTTCCTCAGCCTCGCATTCTCTTCATCGCCGCTCCCCGCCGCCGCCTGCTGCTGCTCCTGGTGGTAACGCCTCATCCCGGACCTGAGATCCGTGTAGCTCCGCCGCGACGGCACCTCCGCGAGGACGACGTCGCGATTCTTGTTCCCGAACGATTGGCACTTCTGAATCCGCGTCCTCACGTTGTCCAGAATGGTCATCATCGTCGCCACCCTCAGCATCCTCCGCCCATCCTTCTTCTCCTTCTTGCACGCATCTTTGTGATCCTGGATTAGCTTCAACAATAGCTTTACATTCGCCGCCACGCCTTGTACATTTCAACAAAACAACAACAACAACAAAACATACACTCTCTGATGAACATCAGCCAGCCAAATTAAGACAGGGAAAGAAAGGAAAACCCAAAAGCTAACAACATTAGCAACCTTCTAAAGCCGAATCATCGTAAGATTGTTCCGGAGACGGAGACGACCCCGAGGAAGGCGACTCAGGAGGAGTCGAAAGTGATGCCCAAAATCTACTCATTATATATATATCTTCCGTTTACTTCAAGAATCTAAGCTGCCTTTCATGAAAACAATGAGGAAAAATTGCAGAGAATTAATACAGGATTATTGGATTGTGAAGAAAAGGGGTTCTGATTCTTCTGTACGGTATACAATGGCTAGTGAAATGATGATTTGATGGGAAAGAGAGAGATGAAAAAGAAGAGAGGTTGCTTGATCTGCATACCCCTCTCCTCCTCTCTTTATTTTTTATCTTTTACTTTTTTAAGTTTATATTTTTGTTGTTTGGTTTTCTTGTTGGTGTTTGTTTAAGGTTTAAACGTTTTTGCAGTTTTATTATCGGTTATAGTCTGTGTTTTTGTTGGCCTAAGCTCATCAGAGAAAAAATGGTTGGTTGATGGCAGTTATGTTGTTGCGTAATTATTGGTGATTTTTTGACTTATTCTACGGGTTTTGATTGTTTTGACTTTTTTAGACAAATAACAGTTGGCTTCATGTGATGCCATGTCCTCTGCTCATTCATCAATACTCTCTCAATTATTTTTCTCTCACTTATCTATATGCTATTTTTTTTTATATAAATATATTAATTACCATACTTGGACAGAATGACTAATTTCTAGCTGAATTGTAGACAACATTAAAGATGAATCAAATTTAAAGTTATGTGCCATTCTTAGTCATTAGGCTTACAACCAAAGTGCCGCCAAGGGCGGTGGCAATTCAGTAGTGACCTTAGGGTCATCCACATTCATAAGCCAAGGGTCTTCCCAAACATTCTTAGTTGGAAATCTATGTTATGGAGAGTGGTGAGGGAGGTTTTGCCAACCAATAAGATGAGCTTGATATTTAAGCATGTGGATGTCTCACCAGATTGTCCCATATGTGGGTTCGAGGTGGAATCGGTTTTGCATGTGTTTCGTGGCTGCAGTCTAGCGCAAGAAGTGTGGAGGCTATCCGATCCCAGCTGCAATTGCCTTTTGGAACTCACGCTACTTTTGCTGCTTGGCTGGAGGTGGTGTTCGGAATGTGTGATAATAGGACACTGCATGTGTTCGGAAACCAACAGAGTCACGTTTGGCGCCTTGCTTATGGATGCTGAGGGAGCTTTTGTTGCGGCGGTAAATGGCATTACTGAGTGTGTACTTGACCCTTTAATGGCCGAAGCGCTTGCCTGTAAGGAAGCTCTAAAATGCATGGATTAAATCATCAAGAGGTGTTTCAAAGATTTGGGTTCATTCTGACTGTCTAAATCTCATCCATTTTTTTGTCCTCGCAAAGGGAGAATAGGACCTATTTCGGATAGATTATGCACGAATGTAACTCCATTAGTAATTCTATTCATGGTTGTGTTTTTTAGTTCATTCCGCAATCAGTGAACCAGGCCGTCCATGCACTAGCTAAAGGGGTGGGCTCTCAGTCTGGTTGTATGAGTTAGGAGTCTGTTCTCCCTCATTTTTTTTTTCTGGTTTGATTTAATATATATGCTTTGTTGATAGTTTTCAAACAAATTTAAAGTTACTCCATACCCAAAGTCAATGATTGATCCTTTAACATTTGATTATTCATATGCAATTTGAGCGAAGAATTTTTCTAAACAACAAGTAATATAATATTCTTTTTCTTAAAAATTAAATATTATCACATTTGATTGATGGTACGAACATTTTAATATGAGTTATACTATGCATACTCTCAAATTTTACTCCCTGATGTGGCAAACAAGGATTGATTATTTTCATCATGATCCACAAAAAAGTATCTACATCAAAAATTTGTGAGAATATAATGAGTAAAAGTTTGAAGTATAAAATGAGATTCCACCATATATTTTTCTCTTAATATAATAAGAAAGACAACTTTTTTTTTTTTTTTGAAAAGGTGAACTCAATTCATTAAATCATAGTCCGGGACCAAAAAAATAACATGACTATTAAACACTTGAAGATCATAATACAAAACTAATAATAATAATTATTATCTTTTCTCATCTTACGCGATATTCTTAATTTCTTATACTCTTATGTCATTTTTTTTTTTCAAAATAAAAAGTAATATAATAGACATTAAAGCAATTTAATTTCATGTTAAATTATTAAAATACTCTTAACATTTTCTATATTTGAAAAAAAAAGAGATAATGACATTACTATTGACAATACATATACAACCTATACATATTTTATATATATTTTTACATTACAATAAAATATTGAATAAATCTAAAATAGTATTGGATGGTCTCATTTGGTTAAGACTTAAGATTTGGAGTTAACTTTCATAAATAATTCCTAGAGTTATTGTCTTAAGGTATTCGCCCTTTTCTAACCACAAACTCGATACGAATTCCGTTTTCTCGTTTTGTATAATTTTCTTTTTTTGCTTATCTAAAAAAAAAAAAAGCAAATGGTACATATGAATTTCTTTTAGGCCATAAACATTATATCAATTTCTATATAATACTCCATAGTTAAGATTTTTTTTTTTTTTTTTTGAAAATCTCCATAGTTAAGATTTAGTTTAAATAAAAGACTTGAATGTCATCCCAATTATATGAGTATTGTAAATAAATTAATAATATATAAACACTATGTGTTTGAATTATAAAAGCAAATACTCTATTAAAAAAATTATTATTTTGTGATTAAATGTTCGTATATATATTAAAAATTAATAAGCATGATTAATGAGAACATGGTCCTTCTAAAAAATGTGATGACTGATCTCAGTCGTCCATCACGATTAATCAATAGTTGAGGATTTTATTAAAAAGAAAAAAAAGAGAGATGAGTCGATCAGTTTTATAATTATTGAAATTTTTTAACTCAGTTATAACTCCGTTACTATTTAATTCTAACATTGATGACTTCATCATCCTTTATATAATAAAGCTATATGGTTTGGGAAATAATTAATGTTACAATTAATGCCACAACATCCTTTATTATAAAAAAAAAAAAAAGAAAAAAGAGCACAACATTTAAAAAATAAAATAGGTATATATTATATAATCATATAAAAAATATACTTTTGAAAAATAAAATAGCTATATATTATATAATCATATAAAAAATATGTTCAATTAGAGTTTAAATTTACACATACAAAATTTGAAATTTGCTTTCCAAATGTAATTATCTTAGTTATTATTCGTATTGTGAAAATTTATATAATAAAACTATATGGTTTGGGAAATAATTAATGTTACAATTAATGCCACAACATCCTTTATTATAAAAAAAAAAAAAAAACACAACATTTAAAAAATAAAATAGGTATATATTATATAATCATATAAAAAATATACTTTTGAAAAATAAAATAGCTATATATTATATAATCATATAAAAAATGTGTTCAATTAGAGTTTTTTTTTTTTTTTTGAATGCTGTTCAATTAGAGTTTAAATTTACACATACAAAATTTGAAATTTGCTTTCCAAATGTAATTATCTTAGTTATTATTCGTATTGTGAAAATTATAATATAGATGATATACAATTAAGAATAAATCAATGTAATTATGTAAATTCTCTCTATAAGTTTATTTGAATATGCACATAATTAGAGATTATACTAACCATACAAAATTTTAATTTTAATTTTAATTGTAATTTTGTATTCTATAAAAATAATAGATACTTGACCAATGGAAGCTCAAAAATATTATTATATTAAATAATTTAAAAAATTTTAGTTTTTCTATTTTTTATTTATATTTATAATGACATAATTTTTTTTTTCTGTGCATCGCGCGGGTAAATTACTAGTTATTACATAATTTATGTGTGTATATAATACATATATTATTAGTATATATATGATTTGAACTATAATTTTTAATTATTTATATTTATCAATGTTTTAATATTATATAGAGTAAATATCTAAAATGGTCCCTCGACTATAGTTAAATTTACAAATTGGTCGTCGACTTTCAATTTCAACCAATTAAGTCCTTAACTTTGCAATTTTGACACGATTTGGTCCTCCATCTATTTGACCGTTTGTTAACCGCGATCTTTGAGGATATATATGTAGTTTCACGTGCAAAGCTCAAGAGGACGCTCTTGGAGGTGACATCGTTGTTTCGGAGGGGGAAGTGCTTCTCCGCTTGCTGCTTGGGGATCCCGAGCCAGTTCAGCTTGCCTACATCGCTTGGAGTCACGGCTTTCTCAAAGAGCTACTCCAGGGACTTCGGCGATCTATCTATCAAAAGCTATAATCTCTCCGGCATGGGGTGCAGCGCCGGCAGTGGATTCAAATGTAACTGTGCGGTCTAGAAATGCAACCGGAACCTTAAAAAATCGACGATGGACCATGAAATTACATATATATCCTAAAAAAGCGTAGTCAACGAACGGTCAAATAGACAAAGGACCAAATTGTGTTAAAATTGCAAAGTTAAGGACTTAATTGGTTGAAATTAAAAGTCAAGAACCAATTTATGAATTTAGCTATAGTCGAGGGACCATTTTGGGTATTTACTCTATTATATATTGAGCCTAAATTTTCTCACATGGCAGATAAAAATGCTAGTATTGATAATTTGTATAAATTGATATGCACATGTAATGGAGCTTTCTACAAGCAAGTCATTAATGAGAGTACACGTCTAGTCTTTGTTTTCTTAGTTTGTTTCAAAATTATATTCAACACCATCCCATATTGGGTTGTCGGGAAGAATATCATCTATTCATGCAAATCCATTGACAGCACGATATAGCCAATATGACAACCTTTTATTTTTTTTTGAAAACACAACAACAACCTTTTATTTCTTTAGTCCTTTTACAAAATTTGGCTGTCTTGGATTTGTTACACTTAACCCTAAAGAACATCTAACTTTTTAGAATGGGAAATGAGAGAAGAGATAGAAGAAAATGAATTAAGAGCATTTACACTAGTGATTTTTTTAATTTTATTTTATTTTTTGTAGGGCTCAAAGTGAGGTGGATGATAGAGAAAGAGGAGAGAGAAGGCATTATGTGAGAATTTTTTTCATTATTTTTTCATTTTTTTTCTTCTTCTCTCTCCCGCTCCTCTCTCCTACTTGGCTTCTTAAATATTGTGCAAAAAACCAATTGATAATTTTTTTTTTTGAAAGATAAAAACCAAGTGATATGGTTTCTCTAAGAGTAACAATAATAATAGATGGTTTAAAAAATAAATGGAAGTTTATGTGAGGCGAAAGAGAGAGTAGACGAGAGAGATGGTGAAAGGGGGTCTTGCAAGTAATCGTTTTTTTTGTTGATCGCATTGAAAACAAATGTTAAACATTGATGTGCTTTATGTGCACTAGACAATG